CAGATACTTACATCAGTTACAAGCTGGATATTATTTAGTGGCTGTGAAAATTTCAAATCCCATGGAGTTTTCGACTGGCCGAAAGAATCACAGTTCAACATTTATTGAACATGTTGGCCTCCAGCCAAGTGTGTCTTCATGGACTTCAAAACAAGATCACAAGTGCGAAAATAAGAGCGACGTTGAAGAATGAATAAACAGTTTAATAAAATAATCAAGTTTACTTTTGGGAAAAACAATGAATGGTTCTTGGGATTTGTGCGAAATTCCCTTTAAGCTAAGTAAATTTAGGACGTTTTTGCTTTGTTTATTAGGAAAGGAGAAACGCAAAGTCTAGATTTCGTGAAATTTTATTTCTTAAGATCTTGAAGACATCTCCGAACGAAAACACAAAGAAAATCGATAAATTCCCGAAAGGAAGAAGCAAAATATAGTCATAAATGAATCTTACAAATAATGAGGCGATAGGTATAATGATAAAAATATAGATTTAAGGTGTATTTAATGTTGGCCTCAGTGTCCACTGATATATATATATATATATATATATATATATATATATATATATATATATATATATATATATATAGTTGTATGGATATTAGTTTGTCATAAACAAATATGCATACAACTGAATAATTTAGTTCTGTCACTGATATTGAGCATTTTATATTAAGTACTTCGCATATATATATATATATATATATATATATATATATTTATGTGTGTGTGTGTGATTTGTATATCCCTTTTCTTATGTATATAACATCGTTTTGAATATTTTTACAGCAGCTTTTTAATACCTATAAAAATGACATTTCTCTATAAACAAACCATTTCATTTTATTTAATCGTTATCACCCCATGTAAGGGAGTAAAGCCACTAAAACACATGGCGTGTAGAAGAATTAGGGACAGAAATATTACTAACATTAATGAGCGGAAAGAGAAAAGGGTAATCAGTAGGACAGTAGATAGCGATTGACACTCCATTTAATTTTTTGCAGATTAACGTTGGCTGGAAAGCATGGAGTCGGAAGGGAGTCCCACAAGCAAAAAGAGAAAGAAACTGTTAGCATAGAACTTACGGTTACATCTATATATATTCAAAATATCTAGGTACCACAGAGAAGAACTCATCCGAACAATTACCATGAAAGCATTTATAGAAAAGGCAAAGAGAGACAACTTTTATGGCGGTGAGAGAGTGACTGAAGCTGAGCCGCCAGATCAGGACCAATAATATTGCTGATTCTTCTTTGGATTTCATCGAGGACCTCAAGCATGAACGAATTGTACACTTATAGATATGTAGGATAGATTCTGGAGAGAAAAATTGTCTCGCACGACACTGTGAATCGGCTTTCTAAACAGCTCGCCCAGCAATGAATTCAATATAGTCTTTTCACTTCATGTCAGATGAGAACGTTAGCCTGAAAAGACGCAACAATTTTCCTGGAGGCTAGCATCAGATATTCTGATGGAAGTTAGAGAGAGGTCTCTCAGATGATGAATGGAGAGAAAGTTTAGTTTTGGAGGTGTTAAAATTAACAAGCCATCACTTGCCACAGTTAACGACGGACTTAAGGTCGTTTTAGAGATCGGCTGCCATTTTGACCATGTCGGACTGATCAGCCTTACTATCCAGGCAGGTATAAATTGTTGTGTCATCAGCGTAGATACCAAGTTGAGAGCTGATGTCATCGGAAGGGTCATTAATGAAAATTAAAAACTGAGTAGGACCAAGGATGGAGCCCTGGGGGACACCCGCATTTGTATGAAAGGAGTTGGACGAGTGGACGTTCAGGATAACTTTCATTTCACTATTTGATAGTAGACTGATCAATTCAACAAAGTTTCCGGAGACACCGTAATCCTTAAGCTTGCGGAGAAAACCTGTATGCCACACCCTGTCAATGATTTTCGAGATGTCCAATGCCACAACTCAGGCTTCACCGTTTTTATCACGAGAATGATAGACTCTTTTCGCAATTGTCAGTACATCAGCAGTTGACCTGGCATGCAGTGGGGTTTTCAAAATGGGCTTTTATTATTCTTGGACGCTTAGGAGCTCCTCAGTACCCTTTCCTGGTATTTGTGTGTCGGAATAATCTCGTAGATTTTAGGTTAATATTTTAGCTCTGTGGTAACTTACGGTGGTGTACTAAATTACTCTTACCGCTACCTATTGTATATTCAATTTCTCCTCAACTAAACTTGTTTTAACTGATTCATACCCTGTATATAGCATTTACTAATACCAAATCCCCCCAAAATTATGATGGCTTGAGGATTTCTGTCTAAATTTCTGGAATAAGGAGTTATGATTTTTTATACAATTGACATGCGCACTATTGTTTTCATATTTGTATATCCCAACCTTTCGGCCGATGCGCTTTTCCACCTTCCTCAGGTGTATATCGACCCAGGTATACTACAGGTAATTTCGAACTAAACACTTTATCAATCACTGTGACGGATCAGTGGAAACAGGTCGAGTATTACTAAAAATAGACGAGACATGGGCAGTGGAACGAGAACGGTCTGCCTTCGTTGATTAAATAAAGCGTTTAGTTCGGAATTCCATAGATGTTGCTCGAATCGAGATATATATGAGGAAGGCCCAGCGTTCAACGGCCGAAATGATGCGATAACAACAACAAAGATGAAGGTAATCGTCCGCATGTAAATAATCTAAAAAAAAAGTGCCATCGTTGATTTCATTCCAATTCCAAATCCTAGTTTTAGAAAGGTTAAGTCCTATTTCTTGGAACAGTTATTAGTAGAGGATATTTGCTTTATGTTAATCTTCTACAAATATATTCCAGAAATCTTTTCATTGGTGCAATATATTAATTAAACAAATGTGCAGTGTGAAATAGTTTTGCCCAACACAAAATTGCTACGAAACCAAGACATCAACCTGAATACAAGAGTCGGGTTCTTGAAATAACTTCATCAGATTGAGGCTTTCATATGAATGTCATGCATGCTGCTGAACTTGTTCAGAAATATGTAAACTGTCAGCTTTACACAATCGCTATCTCAGATCAATGATTAAAAATGGTTTTGACAAATACTAGTTGACAAAATCCAAGTGGACAAAAAGCCGTGAACAAAATCAATCTCATATAAGATTAATTGGTAAGATTACGTGTAAAATCTATTCGACTGTTACATATATATATATATAAATATATATACACACACACACACATATATATATGTATATATATATATACAGTGTAACCCGGATATAAGAGAGCTGTCGAGACAGGGAGAAAGTTTCTTATATCCGGGTTTCTCTTATATCCGGGTTTGGTCTATTTTTATATACATTAACACAGGCTCTAATTTGGGACCAGAGAAAATCTCTCTTATATCCGGGTTTCTCTTATATCCGGGTCTCTTATATCAGGTTACACTGTATATATATATATATATATATATATATATTCGTCATGCGTTTATTTCAAGTGATCATTCATAATTATGTATACATAAATGGAGCATAAATTTGTGAGCATGAAATAAGTGTATATATATTGAATATTATGTTTATTGCCTCAATTTGACATTGAAGTCTATATATTAGATATTGTACATATAAGTGCATATATTGGATATTATTATTATTATTATTGTCTGAATTAGACATTAAAAATTGAATGAAAAGTTAATTGAACTTTTCAATGTTAAATTTGTTTCTTTTTATATAAGAGACTTTTACTCATGAGTCTGTGATATTGTTCCTTTTGGTATAAGATGGAATTTTGCTCGCTGTGGTTTTATACGCTAGCATTTTGTCTTCTTGCCGAGCGAATGAATCTTGCGTATCTTGCCGAAGACCACATTATTCGAACTTTATGGACTGGCGCTACAGAATCACAAACAAATGACTGTGCCAAATAACAGGAATCACATCAGTTGAGGACTTTCAACAACAACAACAACTAAAATGGATAGCTCATGTAAATCGAAGAGAAAATAATGACACAATCAAGATGTTAACATTCCACATCACTTCAAAAAAAAAAATGATTAGGAAGGAAACCGCCATCAGTACTGGAAAGAGCGATAACAGCTACTGGACTTAAGAAACTTGTTTTCCTAAAAAAACTTCTTTTAAGAGAAAGATTTTATAATATTCAACTGATAACAGTAATAGCCGCTCGATCAATGAATATTGAATATTTCCTTATAGAGAAACGGCTAATATTACGATTCAGTTAAGAGCCATACGTGATACACGCTTGGACGATTATGTCTCTTTCGAATCCTGATTGTCTCCTGCAGCAGCTTACCATTTCTTTCTGCGGTAGACTCGTTGCCAACCAAGGCTATAGGAGCCAGTCCGCTCTGTTGTTCAACCTCTAGATGGGAGGGAGAAGCGACGAATTTATAACTTCCTCAACGGTATTTGTGAGTAAGTGAATGCAACTATATTGATTGGAATTCGAACTCTGTTCTCGCATTGCGACACGATATCTATTACACCACCCGCACATCATTACTGTGTTGCTTTGCTTTATGGGATCCTTTATTCTATTGTGAGATACTTTATGTGTGATGTCTTGAATCTGCATTAAATGCCTTTGACAACAGTAAAATTTAATAGATTAAAAGTAGCAGAGTACAGCACTAATGGCGTTTGTGACATTTTATATATGTTTGGGAATATAGTTAAATATCATAGCAGAAGAGGAATTGACACCTAAGCGAGAGGAAAGTTGACACGGAATAGTATTGAAAGATCTATTGTTTTTATCTATTTTTCCCCTTTTTATGTCTTCCGGGTGGCATTAATTGAAAACTCGACGAGCCAACCATCTTGCCAGAGAGTACATTGACAAGGAACAGCTATCTGTCAGCACAATTGTATCGTGTCACTTTCAAGTGTCTCTGTAAATGATGTTAAAAGGAATAAAACATTCCACATTCCATTTACAATACGGAAAAAAAAAACACGCGCGCAAAAAAGGGGAAAAGAAAAGGGAAAATCATAAAAGATAAAAAAGAAGATACCAAAAAGGAAGAGATAGATAGATAGATAGATAAAGAACAGACTGAAGTAGAGATAGATAGATAGATAGATAGATAGATAGATAGATAGATAGATAGATAGAGAACAGATTGAAGTGGAGATAGATAGATAAAGAACAGACTGAAGTAGAAATAGATAGATAGATAGATAGATAAAGAATAGACTGAAGTAGAAATAGATAGATAAAGAACAGACTGAAGTAGAGATAGATAGATAGATAGATAGATAGATAGATAGATAGATAGATAGATAGATAAAGAACAGACTGAAGTAGAGATAGATAGATAGATAGATAGATAGATAGATAGATAGATAGATAGATAGATAGATAGATTGGAGAGAAAAAGAACAAGAAAACGGGAGGGTGTAAGGGAAAATAAAAAAAAATAGTGAAAATAATAAAGAAAGAAATGAAATAGTCGCCTATCGTAATCAAATCAGCTACAAAAAGATAGAAAAAAAGAAGAAAATATAAAGTACTGGCTGGAAAGAGAGAGAGAGGCAAAGAGAGAGAGAGAGAGAGAGAGAGGGAAGAGAGATAAAGGAAAAGAGTGTGAGGGAAAGAAGGCGAGAAAATGAGAAAAACTGAAGACCAAAAAGAAAAGGTAAAAAAAGAGGAAGAAAGTAAAGGAAAATAAAATAACGAAACAAATCAGAAAGAAATTTAACCGTCGTAGATCGTAATGAGATCAGATAACTCATAAAAGAAAGAAAGAAAGCGAACCAAAAAATAATGGAGTGAGAAAGAGGGAGGAAAGCAAAGAGAGAAAGAGAGAGAGAGAGAGAGAGAGAAAAAGAAAGAAAGAAAGAAAGAAAGAAAGAAAGAAAACACCGAGGATTGAAAAGAAAAGGAACAGAACATAAGGTAATAGAGAGAAAGAGAGAGATATAGAGAGATATAGAGAGATATAGAAAGTGAGAATGGGAAGGAAAGAAAGAAAGAAAGAAAGAGAGGGAATGAAACACTGATGACCAAAAAGAAAAGGAAAAAAATAAAAAAAAATAAAGTGATTAAGAGTGAATATGAAAGAAAAAACGAGGCAAATAAAAAAAGAAAATAACTAGTCGCAGATCATAATCGGATCAGAGACAAAAAATCATAAGCGAAAAAAAAAAAAAACGAAGAGAAAAAAAGAGAAGGGAAGAAGAAAAAGAACTAGGCAAAAAGAAAGAATGAATATCTGAGGAGAAAACAAAAAAAAAAAAGAAAGAAAATGAGTAAGGTATAATATAAAAGAACATGTATATCTACCCGAACACCCCATTAAGGCAGGATATAACACAAGGTCGTTTTACAAAGGAAATCACCTTATACAGACTATACCCATTAGGAAAAACAAGGCATATAAGGAATAAAGAAATTATTCAGTTTCATATCGTATTGATACAGAAATCAATAAAATCCTGAACGGATAACAGGGTTTCTCAATATTTTCCTCCCGCGTAAACTTTCGTCCTGCCCGAACAGTTGGCGCCATTTCTTCACTCACTCAAATCCTGTAGACTCCCTGAGGAGTATGGGGGACACAGCTCTCATCACAAGGCATTAATGCTCTGGTTTCTATAGTAAGTTGTATGTTTTCACGGGATAGAGTTGCTAACTCGATATCAAACACGGTGAACATTTTCTGTTACGATTGTGAAGGGCTTGGGAATGTTGAGAGCAAATAACGCCAGTGCAGCGACTACTTCGAATCAATAACTGCATCTACTGCAGGGAAAGTTGGATCACTGAGTCGTGCCAGAATATTGTTCGCGTTACAATCCATCTTGCACATTTACAAATCTAGCATTTGTCCGTGCATTGAACGCTGCTGCCATTTCTGGTCTGGTGCTCTTGCTGTACATCTCGAGATTCTTGACAAAATCTAAAGAAGGATCTGTAATGTAATCGATCTTAACCAGGCATCTCGACTTCAGTCACTTTCTTACAGACGTAGCTTCCCTCTGTCTTTTCTACAAATATGGCAAATGCTCTATCTTTTTACCCCTGGTGCCCGACTACATGAATTTAAGCGTGCTACTAAATTGGCATCTAGGAGACACCCTTTTACTGTTGAAATAGATAAATATAACCGCCATTTCTACTCCCGCCTGTGGAACTCCCTTCCGTTTTCTTGCTTCCCTGATAACTACAATCTTTAAAAATGTAAATGGAACATCAATTGCCACCTTCTGTCTTCTTGAATCTCATTCATCTTTTGCCTTTTCCTCAGTCCTCCCTATATTCAGGTTTCTTTTTCACTTTAATTCATTGTAACTCCCTGCATATTAATGACATTCCCGCCTTGCATTGGGGTGAAATTATTAAAAAAATATTCTAATCATAAAATATTTCAATATACAGAGAACACCGGTGACTTGATCGCCTACATGCTTTCTCTCGTGTTTTCTAACAGGAATGGGTACTCCTGTTTGACTATCTGTGATTTAGATAAAAATTGCTGTATAAGCTAAACAAAGTCTTGTTATTATGAATAACAATATACGATGATGCTCATTACACAAAGCTAGGAGTGGTAGAATAAACCTTTAATTGGGTATGACAGCTCAAAGCACTTTCGCGTGAAACACTTATTTTAATCCGATTAGTCTCGATAATGGCGAAATATGTTTGACTAAATGCAGGTTCTACAAAGGGTGGATTAATGGGTAAGCGGCTCGGCTTGAGGAATCGGAGAGCCAAGTTCGAATTCCAGTCGGAATCCATTTAGTTCACTTACGTGCTAACACTTGGGAAAGGTATGAATCGTTTTCTTCTCCCCCAGCTATTGGGTAAATAGTAGGACAGGCCGGTTTCTATAGCCTTGGATGGCACTGGTCTACTGCAGAAATAAATGGCAACCTAATGCGGAAAAATCTGCCTCTTATTTGCAGTGGGTGCTGCAAAAAATATTTTGACATTATCTACTAAAATTTGTCTTATGTTGATAGTAATACTTTGGTTCATTATGATATGATGATTGATATGTGCATAAATTGTACTAAGTTTTAACAAGTGACAAGTTAATCTACCAGAAAGGGTAGTACATCTAGGAACAATGTAAGAATTGATTTAAAAAGTAGTATTGAAAATACAATTTCGCAAAAGATATGAGAAGTCACAGACATCACTACATATTTTTTTATACTTGGTGTCTTTGATTTATTGGCAAGAAATAAATTAGACCTTTTTCATTTTTTATAGTAAATGATGAATTTAAGGGTGGATTAATGGACAGCGGCTCGGCTTGAGGAATCGGAGAGCCGAGTTCGAATTCCAGTCGAATCCCTTACGTTCTAATACCCTTTTCTCTGTGGGTGAATAGCAGGACAGACCGGGTTCTATAGCCTTGCATGGCAACTGGTCTACCGCAGAAAGGAATGGCAACCTACTGCGGTTAAAAAATCTGTCTCGTCAGTCGTGTATCGAAAGATACATGATCGCCTAAGCGTGTATTACGCAAGGCACATAACTGACTGATATATAGGCACGGTGGAGTAATGGATTGAGGCTTGGATTGATGAATCGCAGAGCCGAGTTCGAATTCCAGTCGAATCTATTACATTCACTTACCTGCTAATACCCTTGGGAGAGGTATGAATCCTCTTTCTCTCCCTCCAGCTATGGGTAAAATAGCAGGACAGATTGGGTTCTATAGCCTTGGATGGCAACTGGTCTAGGAGAAGGACAACTTTGAATTCAAAACCTGAGGGGGGTTGTTTGGGAACCTTGTGGCATTCGGTGCACCAGGTCTCTGTATTCGTCCCTTCAAAAAGTGTGGATGGTCCTGCACGAGGCCTTCACCACTATAATCAAATCTCATGTGCCGGTGTCGGGCTGTCGGTTTCCTGGAAACTGATCTGCTTGACCCTCATACGTCGAATCTCGACAGGAGAGTCGATTATATATATATATATATATATATATATATATATATATATATATATCTGCTATGGGAATGCTGAGAGCAAATAGCGCCAGCAGTGACTACTTCGAATCAATAACTGCATCTACTGCACGGAAAGTTGTATATGCATATATATATATATATATATATATATATATATATATACAACTGCCATTACCTTTTATATACCGGTCAGTTATGTTTTTAATACCTTTTCATGTTACTAATAATTATGATGCATATGGTCACGATAAAATAACTTAATGTTGAATTTACTTTCATTTATAACAGGACGACTTTTTAAGTAATTTTTTTTTGCTAAATTTCATTTAGGTCAATTTTCTATCTTCATGAACAACACGATTGGGTATTTATTGCTGAGAAGTGTTTGGTTTATGTGGCTCTAGTTCTTAATGTAATAATGAGTCCAATGAAGAAATCATTATAACAACTAGAAATTTGATACACGCATATACTGACACACCCTTCATATTTTGTTCCTCCGCCCTAGCATCTTCAGGAATTAAAACCACGGACACTAGACATACACATAAATGCCCACTAGAATATACATACTCACAAATACACGAACACACACACAAATACACACACACATACGCGCGCACACACAAACACACACAGTAACACCGCAAGACAGAAACGCATACCAATCTGACTAATGAAAAAAAAAAAAAAAAGGAAACGCAGAACTAAAAATACTGGAACATTCTCTTCTATAACCTATTTCCAAAAAATTCTTATGGAGCTTAAATAAAAGCAAAACATGCTAAAATGGTAACCGTTTCCTATTTGTTCCTTATTCCATCATTCTCTCGAATTTAATCCATATTAGATACCAATTCATATATATAAATTCTCGCTAATGGATGCGCACTGCTGATGTGTCCGAAAAAAGACGAAACGGCCGTCGAATGCTTTCTGCATTCTGTTGAGGATTCTTAATATTATTATTCAAATCTCCTCAAAATTTATATATATATATATATATATATATATATATATATGTGTGTGTGTGTGTGTGTGTGTGTGTGTGTGTGAAGGGCTTGGGAATGCTGAATGGCTTGTGAAAGGGCTTGGCAATGATATATATATATATATATATATATATGCATGTTTCATTAAAAACGAAAATTAAAATGTGTGTGCGGGTGTGTGTGTGTGTCTGTGGGTGGTTGATAACGATATATTCGATATTAAAAAATATATAGGTGTTTAGGTTCGATCATTAGCGGGGGACACATTTTCTTTACTAAGATTTCTCAGATGTCGATGGCGTTTATTTCAAATAGGAAGTATCCACTAAAATAACATATGAAATAATAAAATATGTAGGCTTAAAAAATCTAAAGATCCATTATTTCTTTAGAAATGGCTTTGTTTACGTTTCGGATACAATGCCTACATATATATCTATGGCTGTGCGTGTGTGTTTTGTGGAATATATTTTAGGTATAGAATCTATAAAACCAATATGTACCAATTAACGAAACACGTAAAGTTTTATGACACGGACATCGAAGGTTCGACAGTGTTAACGTTTGTTTTGAAATAAAACTTACTGCTTCAACTTCGATTTTCAGCTTTTGTGTGGTTATTTACAGGATTAATATCCTTGTCGGTCTAGCGAAATGACAGATTCTGTTGTACTGATGCGAGCTGGACATTAAAAGTAATATTGCGGCAAAACTGAAACGATCGATTGCCGGTATGTATTGATTGATATTCAATTCAATTAAAGACTTATCAAAGAGATTATTTGGAAACTGGATGATAGGCTTAGTCCTTTCAGATCAAACAGAATGCTTAAGTCAACAACGTCATTCTGGGATATGGAATTTCATCTGTTGATAGGTCGCTATGTTTACAGGGAAATAGTTGTAGTTTTTATAGACAGTCAATTGGGAGTCATCTATTTATGTCAAAGGGTGTATCAGTAAGTCCTGCTACGCTATTTTCCCTTGAATTTTGAAATGAAAATTTCACCGTAGAGTCTTCCAGCTTGATTCCAGCTTCATTAACCACTTCCCCACCAATCATCGAAACTGTATCCTACACGGAACCGTCATATAAGCTGACATGCTATACGATTTAGCTACAGAGGAAGCGTCTAGTTAGCAGGGTTCAATTCTTGTCGGAGGACACATATTTTCTATGAAATTCAGCCTGGTAAATGTTGTTAATACTATTTATTATAAACAAAATATTTACTTAAATATTTGTATCTATAAAAATAACGTATAAACAGAAAATATATTAAAATAATTGTAGGACATTTAATTAGATAGTTTATATATATATATATATATATATATATATATATATATATATATATATGTAGCAAAGAAGTCTTTTCAGCCCACATGAGAGCTGAGTGTGGGATACAGAGAAAATTATAAGAATAATTAGGAAAAAATTTAAAAAAGCATAGTAATAAATTTATTTCGATCTATATAAGCATACTCATTTCATCAGACGACTACTTTTTTCCTATTATTTTATATATATATATATATATATATATATATATATATATATATATATCCTACACGGAGCCGTCATATAGCCTGATGTGCTATACCATTCTAGCTGCGAAGAAGCGTCTGCTAACCATATACTTTCTTCACAGCGAAAATCATCTATCTATCTATCTATCTATCTATCTATCTATCTATCTATATTTGCGTATTTAGGCAGTAAATTCTCTTTTAGGCATGTCTGAAGAAATTGCAGACATTATGTGTGCTAATTTTTGACAAAATCCGTTCACACTCACGAATAACCTTCCATGTATTGATGTTAAAGGATGAAAGAAATGTGCTAAATATAGCTGTTTAAATTTCTCTTATTTTTTATTTCAGCATGAAAAAAAATTCCATAATGGACAATTTTTCACCTTCTAATGAACGCTCAGAACATTGTCAACCGTTTTCCATTTAAAAGCATAGTGAAAAAATTACGGTAATGGTTAAGAAAGCACAACTTTGTATAAATACTTATATTAATGAACAACATATAGTTTTGTACTACTTGCACCCCTGAAGATGATCTTGGGAAAAAGTCAAAAGAACTTGGGAAATGAAAATAAAAGAAATTTAAACATCTATAGCACATTTCTCTCATCCTTTAACACTTTTTAACGGAAGGTTATTCGTGAGTATTAACGGATTTTGTTAAAAATTACCTGACATAATGTCTGTAATTTATTCAATCAGACATGCATATATATATATATATATATATATATATATATATATATATATATATATATATATAAGTGTAAATTTTCATTTCATTTTCGTTTCACCTTTTTGAAAGTGGTGTCTGAGGATCCAGGGTACTTTAAAAGGTCTCTGGTGAAATAAACTATTACAATGGAGCCTTAAAGTGGTCTGTTTTTCTTTAAATTATATATATATATATATATATATATATATATATATATATATATATATAATAGACATGCATATATATATATATATATATATATATATATATATATATATATATATATATATATATATATACAGTGAAGAAGGCCCAAACTATATTACCTTATAATGTTGAGTAGTGACAAAGATAAGCTTATCGGACATGAGACTACCGTAGTTATACATCGAGCAAAGAGAGAACACCCTCATTTTGGCCGACCAGACTAACTCCATCACTTTACGGTAATACTCCCCGTAGCCTCACGTCCGATAAGCTTATCTTTGTCACTACTCAACATTATAAGGAAATATAGTTTGGGCTGTTTTCAACCTTTTCTATTTGTAGTAAATATATATCTCAGCAGAGAAAAGATGAATAACCGAGTAGGTGTTGAGACGGACTTGATCGGAGTGAAGTTGAATTGGAAGTTGAAATGCCAAGAAGAAAGGCCAAATATAGAAAAGGAAAAAAAGAAGTACGTGCCAGTGGAATCTATTACGGCTTCGACTACATTGACACGTATATAATGCATTGCTTTAATCGTAGCAGTTTTGTTTTGTAGGGCATTCTGGGAAAATTTCTGTCTGTCTTGTCTATTCCCTATTGGAAATTTGTTTACCTAACACGCAAATTTATCGTGTGTTTCTCGTATAATAGCTGCCGTTTATTTAAAAGAGAGGAACGTACCCAGAGAACGTTTCGTCTCTCTGAATAGCAAAAGGGGAATAGACAGATTCGTGAGGAATAAAGTAAACGCAGTAAGTTTAATATACAGATAAAAAAAAAAGGATAAATAGGCAGACAGTTGATCAATCGATATGTTTTTACAGCTTGTCATCCCCGTTCTGGGTTATTTAAAGTCTAACCATATTTTTTGATTGTAAGGATATTCCCCTTTTCATTAACAAGTTTTATGAGATCACATTTTTTTTTCAAGTACAAGTCCTAATATTTAACCCAAACTGGAGTGAGAACAGAGGGATCCATAACTTTCACAAGGGTATTTGCGTGTAAGAGAATGCATGAGACGGAATTGGAATTTGAATTTGAACTCGGCTCTCCGACTTCTCGTTCGGAGCCACTACCCATTACGCCACCCGCACCCCCCAACCAGACAGATAAATAGATAGAAAGAAAGATAGATAAATAGATATAGAATTGAATAGATAGTCAGGCAGTCAGATAGACAGATAGATAGACTGACAGACAGATAGACAGAAAGATAAACGGACAAAGGAACAAATAGATAAACAGATAGACAGACAGATAGATATACAGACAGAAAATAGATAAACAAAAGGACACGTGGACAGTCATACAGAAAGATACCTAGACACAAAAATAGATAGATAGACAGAAAGATAGACAAACAGGCACACTGAGAGAAAAGCATATAGATAAACAGACAAAAAGATGGAGTCATAGACAGGTAGACAGAGAGAAAGATGAACAGACAAATAGACAGATAGGCAGATGGACAAATAGATAAATACATAGACAGACAGACTATAAACAGACATGGAAAGATAAGCAGACAGACAGAAAAATAGATAGACAGACAGACCAATAGACAGATAAGCATGACGGTCAAACAAATAGAAAGACAGAAAGATAAATTGATGAACGAAACGAAGAAAATATATTAATAAAAGGTAGAGATTGAATTTTGCTTTCAAACATAAAATATGTACAGACAACGAAAATATGTCAAAGTGACGGGAAAACAGTGTCAGACGACAAATAAACAAATCAAAAGCCACATTGAGTGAGAGATAGATAAAGAGATAGACCGACAGATATGAATAAAATCGAAGACCTTATGAACGGAAATTGAAAGTGGAATTGGTAGGCCAAGTTCAAATTCCAGAGGAGTATGTTGGATTCCCTTTCGCAATAATATCCTAGGGGAAAGACACGAATCGCTCTCTACACTTCACCTAGGTAAGGATTAAATAGAAAAGTATACAGAAACCTCTTAGAAAGAAAAACCCTAAATTACCTATCCTTTGTAGCTCTTAGTAAATTTTATCTTTACGCTATCACTCCTAATCCATGTTCAGCCAGCTATTTACATAATTCCATTGGATAGGATATAAAATGCTTTCTACTGTTCCTCTTGCCTTCAATATGTCTTGTAAGTGTCAAATTTTCGAAGCCGTCTTTCCTTATCATGTGACTTAGAAATTTCAATTGTCTCTACCTGATGTTAAATATAAGTGTCATTTTATTTACATTATTCGGACTATTGTCCTCAAGGACACATGGCACAGTGGATAAAGGCGTTGGTTAGATCCAGTGATAAGACCCAAAGAGTGTGAGTTCAATACCCGGTTAAGGCAGTGGAGAACTTTCAGAGGGAAAATTAACAGGAGATAACTGATAGCTGACATCCATCAAACATGGCACGTGGAACAGTCTAACACAGTGAGCGAAATAAAGGGTTCAGTTCGACATTCCAGCCACCTGAAGAAGGCCGGAGCGTACAACGGACGAAACGTTGTGATAAATATGGCGACAAAGATGAGGACAATAGTCCGAATAATGTAAATAATGTACATAATACCTCATCTCAGAAATATAGACACACTCTCAAGTGTCATTTTTGTTTTCATTTCCTCTAAAATTTCGTCGATCATCACATGTTTAGTTCATGGTATTTTCAGCATCTTTCTGAAGAACCACGTTTCTGTTGCCTCAAATCTTATCTCCTTCTGTGTTGAGATTGTCCAGCATTCATTGCCACCGATGTTATATAACCGTTAAGTACTTTAATTAAATTAAATTATCATTTATCATAATCTCGGCACTCTTAGACCTATGCGCTCGTAAAAAAAAAAATTATATGAAAAGGACGCTTTTTCCTTGACACCGCTATTATTTTAACTACCTTCACCCCATTGGCAAGGTTTCTTGTTTAAAAAAGCAATGAAAAAATATGAGGAAAATGAATTTATATTTTTTGTTTTGGGGAATTTACAAGAAAATTATTAAACACTATTTATTTATAAGATTATTTACAAGAATAATTTATATTTACTACATTCTAAAAATAACACAGTTGTATTAAAACTAATGCAATGCAATATTTATCATTTATAAGAAATAAATATGAAAACAATTTTTTATTAATAAATTTATAAACATTTGCTAAATTATTAAGACATGTGAACCGACTATAAGGTAATATTTATTATTTACCATTTTATTGAGTTCGAATCGATTGGCACTTATTCGATCTCTTGCCAAACATTCCAATAAAAGATCTAATAAATAAATAGTCAATTCTCAAGAACAAAGGAAATGTATAAATTCACTTTCATATGTTTACTCTTTAAGATTCTAATTATTTCTTAAAACAATGAAAATTGCCGAGGTGTGAATGTAGTTAAATAATAGCGGTGTCAAGGAAAAGCCGTCGTTTTGACAATACGTTTTTTAAGGGAACACATTTCTATAAAATGAAACTAGCAGTAGATAATTGAATGGCAAGATGGACCACATCTAAATGACGTGTTTCGTCATGAGAAGTGACATTTTCGTATGAATAATAATAATTAGAGTTGTAAATCGAAAACTTTAAAGATATAAGGACGCTCAGCTTTAGATTCATATTCTAACGTCTGGTGTATATAGAACTTGGCAGGTCTTATAAGGCTTTCTATCGTCTTTGATTCATTTTTATTTTTATCGAGATTCGAAAGATTTTCGTCCAGGATCATGCAACATATCTCTTCCCAGAAACGACTGCTGATACAATGTGGGATAATTCAAATCGATAAGATAACAAGTACGTATGTATATGTATATGTGTGTACAAATTAAGATGTGCAAGTGTGTGCATGCTTGTGTGTGTGTTGTTACATTTATATATATATATATATATATATATATATATATATATATATATATATATATATATTTATATATATATATATATATATATATATATATATATATATATATATATATATATATATATATATATATATATATATGTATAAATGAGTATGTGTATATGTGTAATCATTTTTATTTGTGCATATGTCTGTATGGGTTTTAATTAGTATGTGTACGTGTCTGTCTGCTTTGTGTGTGTGTGTGTGTGAGAGTGTGTGTGTGTAAGCACACGTGCGTATCTATATGTGAGTGTAGGTATGAGCGTGTGCAGAAAAGAGAAATTAAATTCGAGCAACAGGTTTTAATTAAAAATACCACTTAAAACGATTACTTGGTTACTTATTTTACATAGAAAACAGTCGCTGGATTATTTAAACAAATTAATCATAAATAATCAATAGTGCTATTTTATCACGATCTGTCACTTTTTTTTTTTTTTGGCAACTTAGGTGCTTTCTATATTTTCATAAGTAACGAAGTAATCGTTCTCAGTAACGTGGTTAATCGATATAAGTGCTGCTTAATTTGTTGCGTTCATTAAATCTGTAACGGACGCAATTGTGAAAGATTGATTCTTCCCACACCAACTTTCTCTCTTCTTCCTTACACATATCTACGCTGGGTTTTTCCGCGCCCGCCTGCGCGAGACACGCATCAGTCATCCACACAGAAGGTAACGACCTCACCGCTTCTGTCTCTTGTTCCGCTCCCTGTATCTCCAGCCCCAACACAACAGTCTTATGAATAACATTCGACTGTCAGTTGCTAAGTCTGCGTTCATCAGGTGACTGTGCCATTTGCCATTATCATTGCCTTCAGCAGCAGCAGCAGCAACAACAGCAGCAGCAGCAAAAGCAGCAGCAGCAGAACCAATGAAGAAGTCTTTGTCGATCTTAATCTGCGACATGATTTTGCTTTCTCTTCGTTTTCCTTTTCCTTTTTTTTATTATTTTAAATATTATTTTTTACCTTTCTTTTTTTTTTTTTTTTTTAAATATGTTTCACATAATGTTGGGGTTTTAATTTTCTCTTTTTAAATCTGTCTTTCGGGGTTTTCTTCTTTTTTCTTCCTTTCTTCTTTCTTTTCTTTGTGCTTAACCTTTTTTCGGTATTTTCTTCGTTCTTATCCTTTCTTTCTTTCTTTCTTTCTTTCTTTTCTTCGTTCTTAGACTTTCTTTCTTTCTTTCTTTCTTAGCTTTTCTTTCTTTTCTTCGTTCTTAACCTTTTTTCTTTCTTTCTTTCTTTCCTTTTTTTTTTCTTTTTCTTTCTTTCTTTATTTTCTTCGTTCTTAGCTTTTCTTTCTTTTTTTCGTTCTTAGCCTTTCTTTCTTTCTTTCTTTCTTTTTCTCGTTCTTCGCCGTTCTTTCTTTCTATCTTTTCTTTGTTCTTAGCCTTTCTTTATTTTCTTCGTACTTATCCTTTCTTTCTTTTCTGCGTTCTTAACCTTTTGTCTTTCTTTCTTTCTTTCTTTTTCTTTCTTTCTTCCTTTCTTTATTTTCTTCATTCTTAGCTTTTCTTTCTTTTCGTCATTCTTAGACATTCTTTCTTTCTTTTCCTCGTTTTTAGCTTTTCTTTCTTTGTCTTTTCTTCGTTCTTAGCATTTCTTTTTTTCTTTCTTTCTTTCTTTCTTTTCCTCGTTCTTAGCCGTTCTTTCTTTCTATCTTTTCTTCGTTCTTAGCCTTTCTTTATTTTCTTCGTACTTATCCTTTCTTTCTTTCTTTTCTTCGTTCTTAGACTTTCTTTCTTTCTTAGCTTTTCTTTCTTTTCTTCGTTCTTAGCTTTTCTTTATTTTCTTCGTTCTTAGCCTTTCTTTCATTCTTTCTTTCTTTCTTTTCTTCGTTCTTAGCCTTTCTTTCTTTCTTTCTTTCTTTCTTTCTTTCTTTCTTTCTTTCTTTCTTTCTTTTCCTCGTTCTTAACCGTTCTTTCTTTCTTTATTTTCTTTGTACTTATCCTTTCTTTCTTTCTTTCTTTTTTCTTTCTTTCACCTTTTTTTTCCTTATTTTTGAAAATATTTCTACTCCTTCACTGTCCTGCTCCCCCTTCTATCTTATCGTCCTTATAGTTGTCGTCATAGTTGTCGTCGACGACATCATCATCGTCATAATCAACATCATCAATAACAGCAACAGCATTTCTGATTCTAATTATCACTGATATGCAGAACAATTTCTGTAGTCCTGACATGAACACCGTCTTTATCTTCTTCTATGTGTCATGTCCACCGGTCGTTGGTGATTCACAACTTCTTCTCCTTTGTAAGATTTGTCTTTCCGCCACCCCTCCCAGTCCCTGTTCAGTCGTCCATTTAAACAAGCTCGTTAGATAGCATATTCAATGCTTTCTTTCTGTTATTCTTGCTTTCAATATGTTCTATGAGTATCAAATTCTCCCAGTCCTTTTACCTAGTTATATCTCCCAGAAATCTCAACTGCCCCTTTCACATTCGATGTAAAAGTATCCTTTTTGGTCCCATTTTTCTTAAAACTTCCTCGTTGCTCACATGTAGCAACCATAGCATACACAGTATCCAGTTTAAATACAACCTTAAGTCCAGCATTTATTGATATATCGGGGGACTGATAATATACTGCAGTTCAACAATGTTTTCTACTTTTGTAACGCAATTTTCCTGTCTCTTAATTCTTTGTTTAACTTTTGGAAGGCACCTTTCCTTCCGATCTCTGTGTCAGATTTTCCATCGTCTGTTATTACACTCTCCAGATAGTTAAGTTTATGTACCTGTGGAGTCTGATGACTCCAATCTTGAGCTTGGGTAGGCCAACTTGCTAGCGATCATAAATTCTCTCTTTTTACAGTCAAGCGTTCAAAGTAGGGCGATAAAGACGCGTGGAGTTACTGAGAATAAAAGAAATAGGGAAAACATTGTTGAAAGAAAAGGACAATAAAAAGAACAGGATTCTAAGTGACAGAAAATGGCTATTGACGTATTTAAATTTTTGAAAATCATAGTTGAGAGAGAAGCAAGAATTTCGAGAGGTGATTGATAAGTAATTGATAAGTGTGAAAAGATAAGTGTGAAAGACCAAATTTTAGGGATAAAACTTACGATTACACTTAGCAATTTAAACAATAAAATGGTGTGATCTGTTTGCTAATTTAGTAAAATTTAAAATCACGAATTTGAGTCACCAAAGTGGAGACCTTATCAGGACAATAATTTGCATATCTTGTGCTGTTAAGATTGTGCCCGTCAATAACAAACCCAGAACGGTCTTCTTGCTCTCTCAGGATCACCTCGTTGTATAGGTTGAATAAATTAGACGAGAAGGTGCATATTTGTAATACGCCCCTCACTGTTTTTTGGTGCGTCTACTCAATTCATTTTATATTCGCACACAGCGGCTTTGTTCTCAGTAAATGTTCTGAATTATTCTTATGTCTTTCCTAAATAAATCAAGCTTCCCTGGCAGTTCAAATAGATCTTTGTGTTGTAACTAATTAAAAGATTTTGTTTAATCATTTAAGATTTTGCTTAAGCATTTCTAACTGCATTTGCATTGATCAAGCTGATGATACTCTTATCATTTTGTTAACCATTTCACCCCTAAGCATGGCAATAAAGCCACTGAGACGCTACGGGTTACCGAGAATGAAAGAAAATGTGAAAACTTTAGCAAGGAGATAAAAAAGAGAAGAACCTGACTAAAAAACAGAAGATGACGATTGAAGATTTTTTTTTTTTTTTTGCTTGAAAATCGTATTTTACAAGAAAGCAAGAAGCTGAGAGTTTTACAGGCGGGAAGTGCCAGAGAAGAAACTATTAGAATAGAATTTACGGTTACATCAAACAAATTCAACAGTAAAATGATAAGACCTATCTACGAATCCAGTACTGTTCCTACATTCATGCAGTCGAGGTACGAAAAAAAAAAAAAAAGGTAAAAAAAAAAAGATGTACGTATACATCATTCCCTTGGCATCTGATATTATGATTATCAGTTTTTGTGTTCACCGGTTATTGTACGATCTCCGAAGTTAAGCAACGTTAAGCCTGGGCAGTACTTAAATGGGAGACCGCCGAGGAATACTAGATGCCACGCGACAGGCATAGCCAGCCGGCAATGGATACAATGTCTCTAGTTATCATTATGTGGAGAGGCTTCATGGCTAACTTGAACGACCTAGAGTTGGATGAGGTGAGATTTTGTGATACTCAACTTGATACTGTCACTGTTTGATAGGTTCAGGTTGGATTTAAAATGATTTTCGCCATTTGCATCATTAAAGTTGCTTATGTTGACATCATGGACGTCTTGTTTGGATAAGTTTTTGATATAAAATACTTCCTATTTGAATTACTTAATATACTCAAATTATACTGTGAGTTGTGCTGCATTCTGTTGCTTTCTCTTGTTCAGATTTTAAACTTCTTGTTAAGGATTTATGAACCTTTATTAGAAATCTCATCACCCTCTCTATTAAGAATCTTGTATCATTATTCGGCTTATTACACTTTACGAAAATATATAAAAATTACCGGGCTTGATAGCGTGACTCGAAATCAATTAATGGAAATGTCACCCTCTCTCAAATATTTCTTTCTTTTTTCTTTCTTTCTTTCATTTGGATATGACTTGCCTTACATAATAATACGTATAAACATATTAGTCACTCCTTTTAATTCTTTCTTTCTTTACATATGATTTGACTTACATAGCAATACGTATTAGTTGTGCCTTTTCTATCTATCTATCTATCTATCTATCTATCTATCTATCTATCTATCTATCTATCTATCTTTCATTCTTTCTTTCTTTTACGTATGATTTGCCTACGTATAAACTTATTCATTTTCCGTTATTTTCTTTTTTTTAAATATCATTTGCCTTGCATTTAATTCTTTCTTTCTTTATCTATCTGTCTTTTACATATGATTTGCCTTACATAACAATACATTTTAAAATATTCGACTTGTCTTTTTTTACATAGTCATAAGTATAAACATGTTAATTTTTACCATTTCTTTTCTAATTCACCCATAGTTTTTTAATCTGTTCTTTAGTTCATTAATCTTTTTCTTCTTTCTTTTCTTCGTTCTTAACCCTTTTCTTCTTTTTTCTTAATCAACTAGTTTACACAATTAACTTTCTTTTTGTTTTCTTTCCTTCTCTTTTTTTCACTCTTTCTTTCTTTCTTTCTTTCCTTCTCTTTTTTCACTCTTTCTTTCTTTCTTTCCTTCTCTTTTTTTCACTCTTTCTTTTCTTTCTTCCTTCTTTTTTTCTTTTTTTTTCTTTTTTTCTTCTTTTTTTCACTTTTTTCTTTTTTTCTTTACTTTCTTTTTTCACTCTTCTTTCTTTTTTTCTTTTTTTCTTTCCTTCTTTTTTTCCTTTTTCTTTCTTTTCTTTCCTTTTTTTTTCCTCTTTCTTCTTTCTTTTCCTTCTCTTTTTTTTTCTTTCTTTCTTCTTTCTTTCCTTCTTTTTTTCACTCTTTCTTTCTTTTCCTTCTCTTTTTTTCACTCTTTCTTTTCTTTCTTTCCTTCTCTTTTTTCCTCTTTCTTTTTTTCTTCTCTTTTTTCCTTTTTCTTTTTTTTCTTTCCTTCTTTTTTTCACTCTTTCTTCTTTTTTTTCCTTCTTTTTTTCCTCTTTCTTTTTTTTCCTTCTTTTTTCAATTTTCTTTCTTTCTTTTCCTTCTCTTTATTTTCCTCTTTCTTTCCTTCTCTTTTTCAATTTTCTTTTCTTTCTTTCTTTCCTTCTCTTTTTTCACTCTTCTTTTTTTTCTTTCCTTCTTTTTTTTCCTTTTTCTTTCTTTCTTTCCTTCTCTTTTTTCTTTTTTTCTTTCTTTCCTTCTCTTTTTCTCTTTTCTTTCTTTCTTTACTTTTTTTTCCTCTTTCTTTTTTCTTTCTTTAGTTCTTTTTTTCTCTTTCTTTCTTTCTTTCCTTCTCTTTTTTTCCTCTTTCTTTCTTTCTTTCCCTTTTTTTTTTTCCTCTTTCTTTCTTTCTTTCCTTCTCTTTTTTTCTCTTTCTTTCTTTTTTCCTTCTCTTTTTTTCTTTTTTTCTTTCTTTTTTTCTTTCCTTCTCTTTTTTCCTCTTTCTTTCTTTTTTCCTTCTCTTTTTTTCACTCTTTCTTTCTTTCTTTCTTTTCTTTCTTTCTTTCTTTCCTTTTTTTTTTCACTCTTTCTTTCTTTTCTTTCCTTCTTTTTTCACTTTCTTTTTTCTTTTTCTTTCCTTCTCTTTTTTTCACTCTTTCTTTCTTTCTTTCTTTCCTTCTCTTTTTTTCACTCTTTCTTTCTTTCTTTCCTTCTCTTTTTTTCACTCTTTCTTTCTTTCTTTCCTTCTCTTTTTTTCACTCTTTCTTTCTTTCTTTACTTCTCTTTTTTCACTCTTTCTTTCTTTCTTTCCTTCTCTTTTTTTACGCATGACACCAACAAAGAAAATAAATTGTCGCTCAATATTAGAAAGAGTAATAATAACTTTAGAAACATCAAAATTATACAGGAATATAATAATATGTGTAATGAATGGGCTGTTCAGCATTTATTTTTAAATAGATTATTAAATTCGAAATGTGATTGCATTTACGTGTGGTGCAGTCAATCGAACAAATTGCCTTAGAAACTGAATTAAGTTTTGTTTTTAGCTTTATGAGGAAGAATTAACTTCTTGTTAATTATTTAAATTAGGGGTTTTACAGATTTTAATGAGGCTAACCAAAACTAAATAAACTCTATCGTTTTTAATTTTTCGAACTGGATAGGCTGTGGGACTTACAACTTAAAAGCAGGGATTGCCTCATATGCATAGAAAGAAAAACATTGAAGGATTTAATACTAAAAGAATATTAAATTGTAAATTAAATTCATACAATTTATTTATTTTGTGTTCTGGTGTGTGTGTATTTTAGTTATATGTATTTTAAGATTGTATACGATAAAGGAAGAAGTCACTTCGTCTTATAACAAGCAATGTGCCAAAGAGAAGAGATGGCCGTCTTGACCTTTCGAAGGTCGGTAGTGAAGAGAATGATTCAGCGTTTTTTTGTGCGAAGTCCGTTTTCAGGCGGGAAAAATTTCTGCTGCATGCTGGGAGAACTTTCATTATTTTGGTTTTATTTATTTTATTTTAAATAAAGTCTTAGAGTTATTTGTTTTTTTATTTGAGTTATGATATTCATTATTATTATTACTTTATAAGTCATTTTTATTTATTATTCATAATAATAATAATAATAATAATAATAATAATAATAATAATAATAATAATGTCCCTACAAGACAAATACATAAGTAAAAATGAAAGAATACGATTTTGAAAATAGTTTTCTTGTCAATTAAAATAAATTAAAAAAAAATTAAGTTTATTTTTATACATAGTTTTAAAACATTCACATTTTTGGAGATGGGAAAGCAATACATTTTTCTGGTTTGTATTTTTTCTTAGGAAATTTAAAATTTTGAAGATCAAAGTTAGATGTGGCACAAGGCCTAAAATATGGAGCACCGAGTGAGAATCAAAAATGCTCCTGCATTATTTACAACAAATCTTCGAATCTTTCCTTCTCAGTCAGTTATGTGCCATGCGTGATACACGCTTAGGCGATCATGTATCTTTCGATACATGACTGACGAGGCAGATTTTTTTTCTCGCAGTAGGTTGCCATTTCTTTCTGCGGTAGACCAGTTACCATCCACGGTTATAGAACATTATCTGTCCTGCTATTTACCCATAGCTTTGGGTGGGGAGGGGAGAAAAAGAGGATTTATACCTTTCCCAAGGGTATTAGCATGTAAGTAAATGTAATGGATTCGACTGGATTTTCAAACTCGGCAAGTTCTTATTTATTTGCCGCCCCATGCTGGGAGTATGTGAGCCAAGTTCATTTTGATGTGGGGAGACCGAGATAAGTGCGCTTGGGACAGGTTCAAAAATACCCCCCGCCCCTGCAACTTACTACCGCTCCCGACTCTTTAGTGCAACGAGGGAGGGACTGCCGCGGAAAGCTGTTGTCCGGGACTGGGCACCTCTCCATAATATTTTCACTTGCGCTCTATCCGAAGACAGAGACGCGACTGAGAGATAAAATATATTTTAACCGCCTAAATGAATCCGCCATTTCTACTCCAACGGTTTCTTTTCTCGCACTTCCTGCCAGTGGAACTCACTCCCGTTTACTGGCTTCCCTGATAAATACAATTTTTAAAAATTTAAATGTAACGTCAATCGCCATATTCGGGTTTCATAAATCCCGTTCATCTTTTGTCCTTACCTCAATCCTCCCTATAATTAATCTTTCATTTTCACTCCCTGTAACACCCTGCGTACTGGTGGCTTTTCTCTCTTGATTGGCGTGAAATGATTAAAAAAGATACTCTTTTTTTTTTTTAAGCATTACGCCCAGAGCAAGGCGTGAAGCCACTAGGATGCAGAGGGTTGCAGAAGATTTGTAGCGAGAGCAGATAGGAGTGACAGAAGAAAGGATGAGGAGACGGATAGTGGATAGATCAAGGTAACTGGAGATGTTGATTGACATTACATTTGAATAGTTGGAGATTATAGCTCTCAGGGAAACAGTAATTGGGAAGGGTGTTCCACAGGCGAGAGGTGCGAGGTATGAAGCTATTGGAGTAGAAGAGACGACTATATTTAACAGTTTCAACAGTGAAAGGGTGAGAGCGAGACGCCAGCCTAGTTGAACGCTTAAAATCATGAAATCTGGGAATCAGTGAAAGCAGCTTATCGGAGCAATTACCATGAAAGTATTTGTAGAAAAGACAGAGAGAGGCAACGGCACGTCTGTGAGAGAGTGACTGTAGACGAGATGCCAGATCAGGGCCAATCATATTACATATCCGCCTCTGGATCTTGTCAAGAACTCCGAGGTAAACAGAAGGTGCACCAGACCATATATGGCAGCAATACTCCTTGTAAGGGCGAATGGTTTATTTATTAATATACACATAATAAATAAAAGAGCTATGTCTACATTCATAATAGACATCCATGTAGGCAAACGTACAATAAACTATACCTATACGTATACATATGTAAATCTATTCACAAAAAATTATGCACACCCATACGCTCAATGTTAACTAAAATTTCTGTAGGTGTGTTTTAAAAGAGCAGTGTATATGCAATGAATGTGCATACATCAGCCGCTGTATGTATTTGATCAGAATTAATCTGTAAGTGTCCTTGTTCAATACGTGGGTTCATACGTGCTTCTTCATGTAGAAGTATATGGAGGTAGCTTTTGTTGTCAATAGCGTCAGGCTTTTTTTTCTTTTTTTTTTTTATTCCGAAGGGAAAAGCCGCCTTATTAATTGAACAAACTGATGGAGATCACTAGTTGGGCAATTGATTTCTCGTCAATAGAGAGGACGATAAAAGAAAGAAAAAAAAAAAAAGAAATGTCTCTTTTGGTCACGTGATCCCTTAGAAAAAAAAGAGATAAAGAAACCATTTGATAAAAGCGAAGCGAGCGCAAATGATTAAAATCACTTGTAGATAAACACACTATACAGAATTTAATGTGTCTGCACGAGTGCTTATACATATATATATATATATATATATATATATATATATATATGTAAAAAAATCTGGGCAGACGCGCGTGGGTAACAGTGTGGGTGTTGTTATGTTTATGCTGAAATTGCTAAACACATTGAACACATTCTGACAGAGAAAAAGATGACTCCATTTAGGTGAACAATATATATATATATATATATATATATATATATATATATATATATATATATATATATATATAATGAAAATCTTTTACAAGATGGAAAAAAAGATTTGTATGTAGCAGACAAAACTTTCACATTTTCTCATAAACTTAGTGTACCCCCCCATATAATATATATATATATATATATATGTGTGTGTGTGTGTGTGTGTGTGAATTAAGACACAGGGAAAAATTATCTTAGCCGATGCGTTTCGTCCTCTGGGGACATTCTCAAGGCATCCTCGCATTTTTCTTGATAAAGTCCATCAGAGGACGAAAAACGTCGACTCAGATAAGTATTTCTTTTGTCTTTATTCATATTGTCCTTTTTACAAATATACTCTCTCAAATTTGTACATATATATATATATATATATATATATATATATATATATATATATATATATAAGTATAAACAAGAACAAAATCTATTTCTATACCTGAGGATGTCTGTAGGAACAGACGAAAGTTTGTAAAAATTAAAAGATCTTATGCAACTGGAATTTATGAACAGGGATCATATCATTCATATACAGGTTCGGGGTTGGTGTACCTTATATTGTTTGCGAAGATGTATTCTCGCCAATTAACCTCTATATTTGTTTTTTGTATGAATGATTTATGAATTTATAAATTATAATTGCACCTTTAATTGAAATTAAAATAACTGATCCAACGTGCAACTTTCGGATAATAAGTGTGACATTACTGTAATTATTGAACAATATAGTTCATGCCACATAGACGGAAAATCTACCAGTAAAAAAGAATTCTCTTTTTACAAAAACGCACAACTTTAAAATTTAAATTCAAACCCAGCGTTGCGACCGCACGTTCCAAAACAATAACACATTTCTCATAGCATTTTTTCGGATTACATCTCTATTTTCGTTGTCCTTTTATTACCGAGAAGTAAAAACAAGAACAAAATCTATTTCCATACCTGAGGATGTCTGTAGGAACAGACGAAAGCTTGTAAAAAATTAAAGAGACCTTATGCAACTGGAATTTATGAACAGGGATCATATCATTCATATACAGGTTCGGGGTTGGTGTACCTTATTTATATTGTTTGCGAAGATGGATTCTCGCCATTTAAATCATTAACCTCTATATTCCTTTTTGTATGAATGATTCATGAATTTTATATATATATATATATATATATATATATATATATATATATATAGAGAGAGAGAGAGAGAGAGAGAGAGAGGGGGGGACAGAGACACAGAGAGATAGAGAGAGAGTATGAAAAAGGAACAGTGTGGATATAGGTATTCATACAAAATTGACAACCGGCTTTTTCATGCTTAAACCAGCCCATTAACGTTTTAACTATGACATGGATTGTCATCATCCAGTGTTAATACTTAATCCACATTTTTATATCTATATACTTTCTATCTCAAATAGCACTTACCTCCATTAAACAGACAACACATTAAAAACTATATTTTATTATATATTTGGTTGGATTGATGTGAGTTTGTGACCCTGTGATTCACGCTTTTGCGATCGTCAGACAAACTGATTAATTTAAAAAAAAATTGGGATTGCGTGTATTGGTGTTATTATGGAAGTAGGAGGGGAATAGTCGTCGTGATGTCACTCATGCTAACGCAAACATAGATGCATGTTCGTAGACCCATACACACGCGATCGCCCGCCGGGGCTCATACA